GATGCAATTGGAATTCAACTCTTATGGACAACTTACCGGCATAATCGTTATCCGATTTCATAATTTAAACCAAAACTAATACCAATATTAACATTTCTACAATATTCATTATTTTAATATTTCTAAACACAAAATAATTACTGCCTATAAGTTAAGTTATTAACACGCATCGTTTTATTATTATTATTATTGTAACCCCATTTTTTTTATAGCTTAAATAATCTTCACCCAGATTTTCATTTCAAGCGTTTTAAACATGAAGGCAGATATTTTAAAATTATTACATGTATTTCCAGACCAGATGCTGCCGCCTTCTTTTTTATTTATCTTTCAGCTTACCAATACCCGGAGGATTCTTATTATCCTTGGTAACCTCCGGCGCGCGACGATCCCATCCAATTTGGTATCGAACCAACATCACGTTGATTCTGGTGGGAGAGTAGTGTAGTGGCATTGGACAATAGCCACACAATCCACAAAGCTGTGAACACGAGACTACTCAGAAAATAGATATTCAATATTTAACGCGGAGAAATACCTAACAATGGAGAAGGCGCGGAGATTGAATTGAATGGACTGGAGTTGATCGAGTGGCATGGCTCGGCCATGCAGGCGTGGTCTCTATTCATATTAAATATATTGTTCCTTCTCTAACCTAAGCTGGTTCTTCATCATGTATTGGTAATTGATACGATACAGTGAGTTGGCGTAGTCGATGGTGTGACTTCCACGTAAGATCTTAAAGATTAGGCAGTTATATCATGACGAATCTACAAATTTAGGATTAGGTCTATTATTAGAGCAGTACTAATACCGTAGTAGACCATAATACTACATATCAACATGGCTCAGACTAGAAGTTAGTGTCTTCAAGCACTGATGCCAGGTCTTGGTTTGGCCACCACTTACTTTCTTCCAACCATCCCGAACACCGGTTAGCATTACACGTCGTGGTAATCGGTGTTCGGGCATACGTAACACGTGGCCCAACCACCTCAGTCGATGAAGATCCACAACCTCATCAACTGATTTACCATCATTTCCTAATACCCTGTGTCTAACCTCACTATTACTTACCCGGTGATCCCAGCAGATGCCAGCAATATTTCTAAGGCATCTGTGGTCAAATACTAATAGCTTACGAGTGTCTTCTACTCTTAATGGCCATGTTTCGCTGCCGTAAAGTAAAACAGAACGAACTGCCGCGCAGTATACTCGTCCTTTTATTGATAGACGGATATCTCGCCCTTGCCATAGGTGACGCAGGTTGGCAAAAGCCAAGCGAGCTTTTCGAATCCGTGCTGAGATTTCGTCTGATACCAACCCATTAGGGCTGATCTGACTTCCAAGATAAGTGAAGTTGTCGACGCGTTCGACTACTTCACTCCCTATCCTTAGTTCAGGTGTTGACGCAGACCAGTCCTGAAGCAACAACTAGCATTTAGAGGGAGAGAAGCGCATTCCAAACATCCTGGCATTGTTGCTCAGTGCTACCAGAAGACTCTGCATTTTGTCAGCGTCTTCACCAAACAGGACTATGTCATCTGCGTATTCTAAGTCGATAAGTGGACCTCCTGGTAGGAGGTCAATACCCGAGAACTCAGTCGACGAGAAAGTTATTTCCATCAGTAGATCTATGATGAAGTTAAACAAAAATGGGAAAAGTGGACAGCCTTGACGGACACCACTTGAGGTTGCAAAAGTAGATGACAGTTCTCCATAAGCTCTGACTCGACTAGTAGTGTTCGAGTAAAGAGCCTTCACAAGGTTTATGTACTTCTGTGGTACGCCTTTCAATGACAGACACTGCCATAAAATCTCGCGGTCTACCGAGTCAAATGCTGCTTTTAAGTCGAGAAATACCACCATTGTCGGACGCCGATAAGTATGCCTATGTTCTAGAATCTGACGAATGGTGAATATGTGGTCGATGCAGCCACGACCAGGTCTGAAGTCAGCTTGAGTCTCTCGTGTTTGCAGTTCACGAGTCTTAGTTAGGCGTTTGATAATTATCGAGGCCAGTATTTTAGATACTATGTTTGTTAAACTAATCCCTCTGTGGTTGTCACAGGATGATTTTGACCCTTTCTTATATATTGGGACGATAAGTGATTGCGACCAGTCAGATGGGATAACGTCTAACTCCCAGATCCTAGCTTAAATATTAGTCAACCTAATCGCTAACATTGGACCACCATCCTTAAAGACCTCTGGAGCCAGTCCATCTGGACCAGCTGCTCTTCCTCGTTTCAGATTAACAATAGCCTTTTGAACTTCAGCAAGAGTTGGAGGACCTACTTCAATGTTCCATTCACACTGTCTGGGAATGGAGGGTAGTTGTAGAGTAGCTGAAGGCCAGTTGAACTGTTCTCTGAAATGTTCCGCCCATCGTTCTAAACGTCTGGACTAGGAGCAGATGAGAGTATCGTCTTTTTCCGATATAATCTCACTTACACTTGACTTATTAATTCCAGTTTCTTTTATTAGTCTGTAAAGCTGTCTTGTGTTCCCTATAGTCGCCTCCTTTTCCATCTCTTTTGCTTTCATTGCCTACCACTGCTCACGGTCGTTCCTTAGACTTTTGGTTAACCTAGATCTGATTAGTTTGCGCTCTTCATCATGTTCAGAGCCTGACGGGATGAGTTAATGAGAATCCATCAGTGTGATAGACCTGGAGGAAATCCACTGGTTCTTTGTAACCCTGTGGTTTAAATCAGTGATAGATGTCACTGCTGTTTCACAGCTGTTTGTATGGCTTTTCAAGCAACAACTGGGTCAACCTCTTTTTCAGAACTACCTAATCGTGACCTCAGTTGTTTCTGGAACCTACTTTTGGTTTTCTCGCTACTCAGTTCGGTTCTAATGGGTCTTTTTAATGTGGCTTTTTGCGTCCAGTGAGGCGCAGGCAGATGCGTGCCCGTATTAGGGCGTGGTCGGAGTCCAAGCAGCGACAATCTTCTACCGACCCTCTCCAACGATGACTGATGGCAATATGGTCTATTTGAGTCCATCGTTGGTTTGGTGTAGGGGGTCGCCATGTTAGAGGATCTCTCCTTATGCTTAAAATTTGTGTTTGCTAAAAATAAGCGATTGTCTGAGCACAGTTGCAGCAGACGGTCACCATTATCTGTTCGCTGTGCCGGAATGCTAAAATATCCACCTAAATGCCTTTCTGTTTGGTTTAAGCTACCTATCTGAGCATTAAAGTCACCCCCTACGAGTACTATGTCTGAGCGTTTAGCTTTCTGAAGAAATTCATGTAGCTTTCTGTAAAATTCATCTTTCACATCATCTGAGCTGCAGTCGGTGGGAGCGTAGGCAGAAACGACAAAAGGGCAACGACGTGTGTCCCTATCCTTCTGAGTTCTTACGTAGCCGTTTAACCGAACAGCACATAGACGACTGTTGACGGGGATCCACTCTAACAGTGCTTGTTCCGCCCTCATGCTTAGTGCTATACCTACACCTGCCAGTACACGAGAACTGGCCATCGGGTCACCAGATACACGTAGGGTGTATCTCGTTGGCTCTCCGTTTTGCCAAGGTGAGGTCAAGTGAATGACCACACTGGAAACCTGTGTGCGTGTTTCTGAGACACAGCATACATCAATGGAAAGAGATTCTAGGGTTTTAGCCAAGGAAGCCTGCTGACCGGTTTGACATAGGGTGCGTACGTTGAAGGCTCCAATGTGTAGTTTGGAGCGAGGTTTCAGTAGACCTGGGACAGGGTTTTAAACACTAGAATCGTTGGCTATGGTGACACTTGAGGAGGAAGCCGAAAGAGGAAGTTTAGAGTTGAAAGTCGATGTAGGAGGAATAATAGGAATTGAAGAGGGAGGTTGATTATGAATACGGTGGTATTGGGTGCTGTTAGAGGTATGGGGGCGGTTATCACTTCCCGGTTGCCCACACCGTGGAAGGGTTCTTCTGGAGGTACCTGAAAAGGAAATTGGATTAGGGGTGGTCTCAGTGACCTGAGAGCGTGACCGCAGTGCCCAAGGGACAACTGCTTGAGGCCGGTCGTGCACGGCCTTTTCGTGGGAGGTTTTTGACGTGTTAGCTCCGTTCTTCAAAGGGCCTTACCGCCGGAGACGGAAATCCGTGAGGTAAGGTGAGGTGTGCATTTTTAGGGTCGACCTTTTCTAACCCCACCCCCCTTTGTGGGAAGGCAGCATCGCTGTCATGCTGGTTGTCTGAAGGAAACACCTTACTGCCGTCACACCTCTGTACAGTCAGCAGTACGACTTCACCTTCGATATTCTTGTATTCCGTTGACATGAACTATGCTCAGTATGTGGTTTCATCCTAATTATTAATCAAAATGGGTGTACAATCAATATATAAATGAGTGTATTTTCTACTACAGTCATTGTTGTTGTATTTTGTAGTTAATAAATCATCACTTATACCAGTCTTTGTGTTCTTACATTCGCGTCGTGGGAATTGTAGAGGTCCCGTGTTCTGAGTAAAAGTGATAAGCATTTCCGACATAACAATCAGCGAATACCAGATACTAAAAGTAACATTAAAAGAGCCAAGACAATAAGAATTCAAACGACAAGTTATAACAATATTGTGATTTGTTGATTGGATAACAATCAAACGCTCTGTAGTTGAGGATTCTCATCATGAAAATTAACCTATGAATTGCAAATCTTCTTCATTTTCCTAATAATCAAAGTGTATTCTTAAATTTATTCGTCTTAACTTTCTGTTGTATATAGATACAAAATAATTCATAAAATAAAATGAGACTTCTATTCAGAAGATAATGCCTTTCTTGATAATAGATGAACACGTAATCAATATAAAACATTAAGTGCTATGGTACTTACTATTTGGTAAGCATTACATAGAGCTATTTTTTCTCAATATGAACAATAAAATAAAATAATCAAATCTACTTCCATAATTCAAATACAACTTCATAAAGTTCCATATTCGTATACCATGATAATAATAATAATAAGAAGAAGAGGAAGAACAAGAAGAAAAGGAACTTTTATTTGGTATACAGTTATATTTCCATTAACTATCAGATATAATTAATAAACAACATAAAAATTACAACTACGATTAATTTATTATTTATTTTTTCTCTGAAATTGATAATTCATTTCGTAAACATGGAATTTCATTACCATCAATACAAAGTTTATATGTTGGTATATTTTGGTTTATGTTTGTCAAGATAAATAATACACCTTTATGATTCATTATTGTAAAAGTATATTCTTGTAAATCTTCTTTAGATGTTTTCTAAAATATAAAAATAATATTCGACTAATAAATAGTTGAAGATTTTTAATTGATTCACAAAATTGTATTATTTAACAGTTTCAGTATTTGAGATCATGTGTCAATTGAAGCCAGATCATCATGGAAAACCTGGAAGCACTAGACGGCCGTTTCGTCATATTGTGGGACTCCTCAGCATTGCGCATTCATGATCCCGCCCCCCGCGAGATTCAAACTCAGGACCTATCAATCTCGCGCGCGAGCGCTTAACCACTAGACCACTGAGCCGGCATCCAGTAATGTTAATATCTAACTTCAACTAATCTACGAAATTGAGCGACACATCTACCATTATCTTCAGTGAGTTACTATCTCGCAACTGACCCGGTTGAACTCCACTAGTCACTGCTTCTCACTAGAACTTCATGATATATATCTTGAAGCCAGTCACTAGTGAGCATATGTTGATTAGTATCAGAATTGGTTTTTTGAAGATTGTAGTAATTTCAATAATTGAGATCATGAGTCAACTGAGTGGTTAACCGCTCGCTCGCGAGACTGATAGGCCCTGGGTTCGAATCTCGCGGGGGGCGGGATCATGAATGCGCAATGCTGGGGAGTCCCATACTAGGACGAAACGGCAGTCCACTGCTTCCAGGTTTCCCATGGTGATCTATCTCCAATTGACTCATTATCTCAAATATTGCAATTACTACGATCTCCACGAAACCCCATCTTATATTTAAGAGTTTTTTGAAATCTTTTTGATCAGTATAGATAAACAAAATGTAACATAAATCAAAGATAGTCTATATCATCAATAATTTTTTGGTACTGTCGATCTTTAATTTGCAATTGGGATTTAACATTTAATCAGTATTAATGATAATAAAAGTATTTTGTAACGTTATATATTTTGGGTAAATACCTAATAAACTCACTAAGTGATGAAATAATACAGTTCCTAATTTCTAAAAACTATTAAACAGACTAAATAATTATAAAGATAAATGAATTATGAATATAACCCTTATAAGCTATCAATGTATAGTATATGCTCTCTTGTAATCACAGTACTCCCATCAATTTTACTCAGAATAAAATAATTACTAAACCAACTGTTTTATAACTGAACATCAATTTTAATAAAAACTGAACGTTTTAATCAGAGGTACTTGATCACCTTAGTGAGAATTCTCATTATTTAGAGAATAAAAAAAGTTCATTGATTTATTAAAAAAATAAAGATGTTTCAATAAAGCAAATTTTATTTTCAAAGAAGTTATTTTTCGAAACAATGCAATCGTAATTATAGTTAGGTTAACTGGTAATATATTTCAATGAAAATTTCTGGAGAATGGCTTCCCATCCAGGTGGGAAGCCATTCATTGATAACAATCCGCAACCAAAATTTCAAGTCGAAAGTACTCTCACAGCTTCGAAGAAAGTTTCATTCTTGAACATTGAAATCAGGAGAGATACGGCAGCTGAGACATTAAAGTAGAAAATATCTAGATCCCTGGGAAAGATAATTTATTTAGAAGAGCTTTGAATCGTTTTTTCCAGCAAAAACTCATTCAGAGAGGTGTCAATGATAAACTACTTTGGATCACCTCAATATGCATTTGTCAGTTTACTTACTTTTGTGAAGCATGTTATATTGACCCTACAAAGTATTCACTTGATAAACAAACATCTGAGTACTCCTCTGTGTAGCTATCTAAAATGGGATTGTAAATCAACTAACAGCTCAGTCCTTGAACATATGGTCAAATCAAGTCACATTCCATCATGTGAATTGTCGTTCCAAATCCTCCATAAAATTATAAAAACTAGCTCAGAAATGGTTTGAAGGAAGAATTTATACACCGTTGAGACTATAGGAATTCACCATTTCAAGCGCGATCTCTGTTTACATATGAGTCATGTTCAATTCCTTATTTTCCCAATATCCTAACACCTCTTCAAACTTTATAAATTGTTGGTGCTAACTACTGCCTCCTATTGATTATTATTTCTTATGAATTCTGAAACTACTACATAACTTTATTTAGTGATAATCGTTTATTAGATTGCTAAATGATCAAACCTATTTTATACTCGATATTTGAAAACTAGAATTCCATTGAAATAACATCTTTTCATCTATTATTTAATATATATTCAATACTTGAAATCTTTCGATAATCTTGAGTATACTGTGAAACACTCCTTTTGTTTTCATTGACTTCTATTTGAATAAATTTGATTATGTTTGATAATGTTGTAAAACGTTTCTATTTTACTATAGACTACCTCATGTAAGAAATGACTTATGAATACGACTGTATCACTTCTAAAAATGATATCCTCAATAAGAAAACTGTTTGCATTAAATATTCCTCATTTAATAAAGATTTTGACGATTGTGTAAAAAGTCTTTATAAATGGAGCTGAAAAATATGGAATTAGTATATTTATAGTAAAATGTGATTGAGTTTTGTAAAAGAAAATATGACAGAGAACCCCTGAAAGTCACTATTAAGTATGATTCCGAAGTTATAAAATATTCATTATAAATGTTTGACGATCATTAAATTTCATTATAATCATGAATCAATCTGGACGGTCGTCCAATGTTTTCATGTTTTCAATGGTGATTTGATTTGGATCGGTATATCATTTTAATGAAAGTTGTAAAATGTTATGACTTGAAATTTTAATTTCATAGTATGTTTAGTCATTCTATGACTAACATTATTAGTTTTTATGAATAATAAAACTAGAAATAAAACTTTGTAAAATGTTGGCTAATACATCACTTCTATACAATTATAACAAATAAAGTATATTTGATTGTATTATTATTAATAATCAAATTATTCTTACGTTAAGTTGTATTTGTTCATCGTTATGCCAAAATGTATGCGTGTCCGTACCTGTTCAATAAATCAACAAGTAATATATTTTGTTTTACTTTGCCTATTACGTAATCTAATATCCTGTGTTCAAATCCTATACAATGAAATCAATAAACCATACAGTAAGACGTTCAAGGAAATATTTCCGTGAAAAAGCTTGGACTATATTACAGAACGAAACGTTTGATATACTTTATATTCAAGATTTGACAAATATATTCTTCCTTCTTAATATATTACATTAACTCAGTGCCCAAATACTGTGAAACTATTCGTTCAAATAGCAAAGAACGTTCTTATATGAACCATACAGCATCTGAGCCACAGATGAAATATGGAGGGTAGAAAAAACTTTAGTTATCGTCTAAGGTTAACTTTATGATCACCGATTAAAAAATATCTACTGTTCCATCTCTGCAACAACGAACAGTCTGGTGTACGTTTTTTAATAAAAAGAGTGAATGCATTTTAGATTCATTTGGAGAATACTTTTATAATACGTAGCATTTCATGAAGAAATTTACTTAAGCAAGACAATTCGAAACACGCAGATAAAAAATAAAAGTGGAAATCTAGATAATTCATTGTAGAGTGGGGTGTGACTCGTTCAAAATATCACTAGTTGTATGAAACAACAAGTGAACTAGATGATATTGATTTTAATTTCAGCACAATGTACACGAAATGATCTTCATGAGCACGAATAGGACATACACTTTGACAAATTGAATAATAAAGTTTGAACTCATTGAAGATCATCGGGATGAAATATTTCAATTTGAGAATTTCCCGAAACTTATTTGACGAATATGAAACCAGTTATATTTCCTCCTGACGTAACATTTAGTTGCTTTGCGAAATTATGCTACTCAGCAGTAGTTTGAAGTTTTTTGAGAAATTAATTTCTACAGAGCATATTAAAACAAAACTCCACCTGTGGCCCTTCTAGGGTTACTGTCTACCCCAAAATCGAATAAAAGAGGAGAATTAGTGATGGGATTATCAACCCTTCTGAGAAAGCTAACTAGAATATATAGATGGGTCCTTATTGTCGCACTACCTGTTATCAGATCAGGTGAGTTTTATTGCTGGTTTAAAAGTAAAATAATAAATTAAAAGCTAATACATAGTTCTTTCTAACAACTTGGAAAGGGGATTAACACTGGTTTTAGTGGAACAAAATTAGTGCATTTAACTTTGCACGCTTACAAATAATACTCACAAGTTAATTAGTACCCTACTTTGGTTGAATAAAATAGGACTGTACAGTAGAAAATTGCCGAGAAATGATATTGACTGAATGATTGGGACACGTGGAAAATACTGTGATCAAACAAGAGTTCTGTTGCCACAGCAACAAAAGGTTGAGGGCTGTTCGGAACACGTAACTTATATTTCAGTCATTTAATAATTGCAGCGTCAGGCAATTTAAGAAGGCTAGCTCTTGGCTGTTTACTGCGAAACTTGAATGAATTCAAATTATATGCTTGGTGCCACATGTCAACAAAATATTTAGAAATCGCAATCATAAACCGATTTGTTTCTTCTGAACAGATCTTTCATAACAAATTTAACTAATCTAAGACAGGCTCTTGTTTTTTTTCGATGTAACTGTTTTGACAGATACCTTAAAAGTCAATCTGGTTGACAATAACATGTGGAGTAGAACTGTCGAATTTTGGTTGTGTTAATGAACATATTATTTTATAAAAGCTGTTCATTTCAACTTCAGTTTAGATTTTAGCTAGTATAGTGTTAAGCTTTCTATTGATATACTTTATATCTTTCTCCAAGCAACATACTCCGAAAATATTCTACATGATTATCATTAAATTCTTATAAAATCTCACTACTACTAAAGATGAAACTTCATCAATCAACCTGAAGGCTTATAAAGAGAATTGTCAAAGTAACTATAGAATGGGTGAACTATCATTGACTGTATTTGCCAGAAAATATATTGATGAATCATGATAATTATCTACCTTAGTGTTAATTTTTTTTAATTAAATGTTTTGCAGTCAATTTAATCTATCTTCGTTCAAATGAGTATAAATTCATTTTAGATGTAATTCAGTAGTAAATACTTGAATTGGTAATTCAGAAGTTTAAAAATAAACATTATGAACTATAAATTTCATCAAATAAAATGCTTACAGTATGCCAAATTGAAATGATCCGAGCCCAAATCTACATTCCATACTATAACATTTTCTGATGGTTCATATCCCATTGACATATTCTTTCCAAGACGAGCACTAAACGTATGTAAATGACATTAAACAGGAAATATATTAATTGTCACCAAATAGATAAATACGACTATCTCTTTTAATCCCTTATTTCTAAATCATCAGGCTATTGGAACAAAATAAATTTTTTATGAGAATAACTTTATGCATGAATCGATAACGGGAACTAGGCTATTCATTATCAAGTCAAATATATCCTCGTTCATTTACATAATCATTCTAATTTATGAATTATTAGTGTTTTACTGAATAAAAAACAAGTGTAACTGTATGAGATTTAATGGCACCTTTGATTTGTCATGATAAACGATAGACATATGATGGTTATAGAAATACCAAAAATCTGGTTGTTCTTTTTCAATAAGATTTTTATGTAGATTTCTTCAACTACTCACAAAAGTGATAGCTGAGTGTTGTTATTATTGTAACAGATCATTAAAATAATATTAATTAATGTTAAGCATCAATTCAATCATCAGTGTCAGATGTTATTCATGTCTATACACAAAATGGATGGAGCCAAAGAATTTTTAACGAGTAACACTTTTGAAGGGAAGACTAATACTTCACATTTAACGAAAAGATCATTTGAAATAATGAATTTTGAAGAATTATCAGGTTTTTCTTATACATTTAAACTAACATGCTCATATATTCCGGTGTTGGTGGGAGTTATGTGACATGGAAGAAGCTAACACTATTGGTGCTTCAGCAAAAGACTATAGCTTAACGACTAAAAATGTCTATTCAATTGATACTCTACTTTTCAGTAATTTGTTAGAAAATGTTTGGTCAGATATGCAAACATTAAATGTATTCAAACCTGAGGATAGTATTTTAGCAATAAGAATGTTCAAGAAAAGTATCTACAAACATGGTTTATTTTACTAAAAGTAATCTCCCAAGATCATTCTCATTGAAATATTAGGAAGATAAAATCTAATTAAACTAGGCTTTTCAATAAGAAAAGAGTTATTTTATAGTCATTAACTTATTTAACACATCCTTTCTAAAAAAAAAACCCAGATTAGTAGAAAACTATTGCTTTTATATAGAAGTGAAGAACTACTAAATGTACACTTGATCTTATCGTGAAGAACGACGAGATATTAAGAATACTAAATAGAGGAAAACTCACTTTTTAATAATAAGTCACTTTAAGTAAGTGAATTCATAAGGAGCTCAAAGGTGGTTTGAAAACTATGTACGACCAAGTTGTATATAAGAACAAATAGCTAATCATATAAATGAATGTCATTTTCATTATTTCAATCACAGAATTAAGTTAATAAATATTAACTAGCCATTTACAATGGAAATCTTAGTTTATGAAGTCGGTTATTTCTGAAACGTACCATTAGTATAGCATGAAGTTTTAATTATTTTCATTCTTTGTATGTTTAAAACTAGAAAAGTCCCATGACAGGAACATTTTTTACTACTACAACTTTCAATGTAAACTTGTATACCCTACCACAATTAAATATCGTTTGTATCGTCTTACGGTGCATTTCAACATTGTTTCAAGTGATCTTTCATAAATTAGCTTTGATAGTAACTATAAAAATAAGAATGTTTAGATTAATTAGGTAAATCAGAGATATCTTTTTATGTAAAAATGGATTACAAGCTGTAACATTATCTCAAGTGTTTTGAATGACTAAAAAAATATTATTTCTTGTTATAATAAAGTTGTATAGAAACTAGATAATATAAATAATTATTGTAACTTATTACATTAAATTATGCTCGGGTTTTACTAATATAAGCATTCAGTGGAGCCCGTTATTTTGTCCTTGTTTACATCGAACGATGCTGTTGAAAGGGCTATACACTTTAGTGGCCTGGGTTCTGACATTAATTCGATCGTAATGAATGTTCGTTATCGCCTATCCTCGTATATCATCGACTTAAATCGCGTTAGTCAATAACGGAATCGAATAAATCGAATAACGAGAATGGACTTGTGAATACATATATTTCGTATATAAAGCGAATGGAATAGAGAAAAGAGAAACGACTCAGAGTGGAGATCGCTGGTAAGCCAACTCCCATTTAACCAAGCGTCAATCAATATTTATAGTTACACAAAAGTAAGTCACAGACATGTGATGAGTAATGGGAGAAGAAATGTACAAACACCTACGCGCTCATATAAAAACAGTCAAGATTGATAAGCGAAAAAAAATAACAAGGTCAGAATGTGACTCAAGTAAGTTGGACAGAAAATGGGCTGTCCGAAAGCTAGAATAAGGTATACGAGCTTAACATAATAACCGACGCTACAAGCTATCAGAACGAAGTGAGAGAATCAATATTGTGTCTGTTACGAATCTTGGATAAAACATTTATTTTTTTCTCTGGATGATAATTAATTTTGTAAGAAGCTAAAGATACGAACCATTTACCGATCTGGAAGTTGATGTGTTGTAAAATTAATTAAACTGATTGTGAGGATAATAAGCAAAGATGGATGGTTAACAACAGTGCAATACAAGAAGAACGTTTCGTCTTATTTGGGACTCGTCAGATGGATATACCTGCATACTAGTGTTGTTGTTTATTCCGGGAATCGTATTCAGTACTGTTCGCTTCAAACTCTATCGCGTTGTCCACTTAAAAAACTGATCAATTGCAGTCCTCAACATTAGTGAGAATATTTAAACAATTAGTACAAAAATGAATTTTCATTTACATCTCATACTGATCTCAGTAGGTGAAAGACTATCATCAAACCAAATGCGCTTCACAAACTACGTGTACTGTATATAGCATTCCTCAATGCAGGTCTCATTCTATAGGACTTCTTTGTTTTAAAAATTATTTATGCGTGTTACAAATAGATAGAAACCCAAACTTTAACACATTTCAGCGTCCCACTTCTTTAATATCATCTGAAGTTTTTTTTTAATTCAGTTGAACAGTATTCATCCACTTATGTTCAGCATGGCTCGTGTTTGTAACAGTTTTAAATAAGTGTTGCTCACAATTATAGAGAACGTGATACTCTCTTACGTTGAGTTCAAACTTATAAATTTTGGATCTTGTGATGAAAATAAATTTATTATTGATATTTATCTGTTAATTTAGTCTAAATATTCCTAGCCGAATACACATCAACTAATGTAGATGAAAACAGTCAGTAAAGCAGCAGCCTCTATGTCAGTAGGCCTCAAAATACACAAGGGGAAGAGCAAGATAGTAAAATACAACAGGGAGAATGCCAACCCAATCACGCTTGATGGAGAAACTCTGGAAGAGGTGGAAACTCTCACATATCTGGGCGGCATCAACAATGAACAAGGATCAGATGTAGACATGAAGGCAGTGATTGGCAAAGTGCATCATTTCTACAGTTGAAGAACATATCGAACTCGAAACAACTGTCAGCCAACATCAAAGTCAGAATCTTCAATACAATAGTCAGGATAGTTCAATTGTACAGAGCTGCAACTTGGAGAACTATTAAAACCATCATAAAAAAAGTACAGGTATTCATAAAAAACTATCTACTCAAGATGATCTTGATCCGTTGACCAGCTACCATCAGCAACAACCTACTGTAGGGGAGAACAAACCAGCTTTCAGCTGGAGAGGAAATTAGGGCAAGATTCTGGAGGTGAATAGGAAATACATTGTGGAAATCGTCAGACTGTATCTCGAGGCAAGCACTAACTTGGAATCCTGAAGGCAAGGAATACAAGAAAAAGAAGAAGATCAAGGAACACGTTGAACCGACATAAAAAGGATAAATATCAACTGGAAAGGATTGCTCAGGATATAGTTGGATGGAGAATGCTAGTAGGCAGCCTATGCCCCTTTAAGAGGGGTAACAGGCTTAACTTATTTAATAATAAATACCTGACTTGAAAATGATTACATAACAATGACTCTGAAAAAAGGCATTGTAAAATAACTTTGATTATATATATATATATATATATATATATATATATATATATATATATATATATATATATATATATATATATATATATATATATATATATATATATATATATATATATATATATGTCTAACTATTCAACCCATCAAAAAATCGTTATATTTCTCATTATATAAACGTACAATGAACGATATTCACAAATCGGAAATCGATAGATAAACAATTTGACGTAACTAACTAATGGTTTATATAATTTTGTTGATGTTGTTGTTGTTGTCATTATAAAACTTGTTTTAAAGCAATGATCTAAGAAAAAAGGTTTTATGAATGTATCGAATAAAAAAAATTATCGATTACTGTTACTATTATCTCATCAAGAAAACTCAAAGTTTCACCAGTTCAAATATAATTATTATGCAATTCATAGTAAAAATTAGATATTGAGATAGTGAAAGTAATTATCTATGGTTTTTTGGTATTAATAAAGTATGATTGATAGTTGTCAATATACCACATTTAAAATAATAGTATATTTTTATTTACTTTGATGTTTCAAATCCTGTCATTCAGCATAAATTCATAGATGGTACTACTAAATCACCTGAATAGCAGAAATGTTGATATATTACAAACGAAAGAGTTTTGAGGTTTCTGATGAAGATACTATATTGTTATGAACACAAGAAGAATGATTTAACTATATTGATCACCTATTTGGCTGATAAACTAGTTAGATTGTTCTTGACAATCCTCATGATGGATTAAACATAGCTTTAGGTTAATGTGGTATTTCCTATTATCTTTGACTACTATCGTATACTTTTTTGAGTAATTTACCCATAGTAGTGATAAGACAAACGATTTGAAAGAGCTGTTCATCATTCAATGCTGAATGGTTTATAAGTTTAAACTGCTTACGAACCATAGCTTAATGTTTTTACAGTTTACATTACAGTATTAAACAGACAACCAATGAAGACTAGAAAATACTGAAAAGCTATTTCTTCTTACTATAGGATTCTTCAGCAGTGGGCATCTACAACTCCATAGGAGATCGAATTCAAGAACATGAGGCCTCGTCGATAGACCTCAACCTTATGACCATTGATTCACAATCCAAGATTTTAATGCTGTCTGATTTTTAATAGTTCTTCAACTGGTTTCAGCTCATAATGAATTTAAAAATTCATAACTGATAAGAGTATTTGTTAATTGTTTTCATTTTATCAAATGTGTATTAAATAGTTCAGGTTGTGGTGGATTTTTTTTCTGAAGAAGTAACAACTGATAAAAAATCCTGAAAAACATCAATGATGTTTTGGAGTAATATTAATTATATCAAATCTATTATTAATAATATTCACTCACAACTAAAAAGAAATTCTGGATCAATTAAAGAAGTACAAAGAGTGAATAAAGTATCCCGAAGTAAAAAGGTCGTAGATGTTATATGAATATTCTTGATAACTGACTAATATGATTCTTTTTTTCATTAACTAATCGTATATTATTAAGAAGAAAATTAAAGAAATTGCTATTCATGAATTTAAATAATCAACTATAATCTTTCATTGAAACAAGTATTCATCATGTTTTCCCTCCGGATATAATTTATGAATAAAACAAACTAAAAAATGTTTATTTTTGACAATTAGTATTAGACATAAAAATTTTCTGGTTAACGTTTTTTTTAGCGAGTTAGTTTTCTACGGGATGAGGTCGCTAACCCCATGCCCAACCCTCTTTCTTTGTCCGGGCTTGGGACCTGCAGTAGCCCCACAAGGGACTACAGGCAGACTAAATGCCTGCATTCTTTCAATCTAGTACCTTAGTACTTAATACACTAAATCGAATATGAATCATCAATAGATTGCTGAGAAAAGTATATTTAATAGAATTCAAAATTAGACAAAATACCTTCAGAATGGTAATCTAAATAAACTACATATACATACCTACTAACAAAGTGAATTTTCGATACACAAAAGTAGTAAACAAGTTCATCATGTATAACATTCATATCGATTTTCATAATTAAGATTATACGTAAATTATGCTATTATTAGAAAAGTCAGTTGTCTAATATATATATACTAGCGAATACATGGATTTATCTAAACTCAGAGAAAAAGTTCAAATCAACTTACTGAGCCCTTCGTGCTTTTGGTAAAGGAGAGCTTGTACTACCTACAATTTCTGAAGCCTTCTTCCCAGTAGTAAAAATGACAGACATATTTTTTGAGAAAAATTGGTTAAATAAATAGTTGTTAATTTAAGAATATATAAAATTCATATTAAAAGAACATTATCAACATGACTTTATATAGATGAATGTTATAACATTCTTTTTTGTTATTCTAATTTACTTAACAGTAACTTAAGTTGTCATAACAACTGATCAAGTGATTATCCATTGGTTCAATGCCTCAACATTTCTTTAAACATAAACAATAGTTATACACAAAGATAGTTTTATTATTGTTTTTTAATGGAAATTACGTGTTATTATTAACATACAAACTAAGCAAATACATTATACAGCTTAAATATAAGAGATAAATATAATACTTACAAGCGATAACTATATGAATAATGTTCTGTACGTGACCTTTAATTTTATTCACTTATAAAGTGAGCTATATTAATTAAATAGTGAAAAGAATAGTAATGGTAATAATAGTAATAATACCTAACTCAGTGTTCAAAGGAAATACAATCAAAATCAATAAAGTGATGAAAAAATCCAACTAAAAAGATAGTAATTCTGACAGCTTCTAACCATAATATGATTAGTTCTAACAAGAGCTAACATTTTCTTTAGACCATATGTTGCGATAAACATAACCAACAAATACCTTGTAAAGATAGAAGAGAAGAATAACCTAATTTATCTCTTTAATGGAAATACATCACTTAGCTTAATATAAACAACAATCAAATTGGTCACAGAAATCTTGATGGATTTTTATCCCATTTTATGCACTCATCGTAAAAAATTATTTATAACGATAACATGAATACGAATAGTGAACAAATATACACATGAAAGAACAAACTTTAATTAGAAACGGATAATGACTAGCAATGGAATACAGGATGGGCGTCACGCACTACTTAGGATTGGATGTACCTGCATCCTAGAGTTGATATTTATTCCGGTACCGTTCGTTTTAAATGCTATCGCGTTATCCATTTAATTACTGAGTTGAGATAAACGCCAGTTTGTGCAATGGCGTGAGAATGATTCAATCCAAACACTGATCGATTGCATTCCTATACAATAAATATAAGGTTTGGACAACCAAGATATAGATCGAAAATATGCTCTATATAATCTTCACACTAATTTAAATGTCAAGTGTGTTTTGAAAAGTAATATTCAATTGAAATCATGTTAGACCACCACTGAGACCGTGAAAGCAAAGGACGGCCACCTCATCCTTGTATGGGACTCCTCAGCAATGCGTATCCTCGATGCTGCATGTTGGACTCGAACACAGGACCTCCGGTCCCACGCTAATGCTTAATCTCTGCAAACCTATACTGATAATATTTATTTATTCTCTGATTAAAGGTTACATCACTTCAATTTTTAACTTACTAACTAATCTCTGTAGAAATTTATGTCTTGTCTAAAGAGTCTTATGTTATTTAATAGCTGCTACATGAAATCCTTCTGTAGATGTGTAGATGCCGTTAATATCCCAAACCCCTGAACACGGTATTCGAAACTTATTTCAGATTAGACAACGTTGTCACTAACGTAAATTGTCCTCCATCATACTGAGAAGACTGTCAAAAATAGTGACCTACTTATAAGAACCAGGCTGGTTTTTGCCCACCTTGTAAGTTTATTGAGCATATCTGCATCCCCTGACAAATTCTTCAGGATGTCAAATGAACAGTAATTACATTTTTTGATATTCAGAATAACCATGATTAGTTAGACAGAACTATACTATGAAATTTTCTTATGGGCAAAGAATGTGTCGGAGAATATAAGCATGATATTGAAACTTACTTGCAAAACCTCATGCAGAAGGACCTGATAAAACCACCTATATTCATGCTTTGAAATATCCAGCTCAAAGTTAGTATTTCTTCTTAAGGTTTCAAGCGATTGCATTCTTTAGACAGGTTTGAATGACGCTTGTGATGATAATTACTCAAGTTTGTTACCCGAAGCGCTCGATTACGATCCATGTGTATGATACATACTTCTCATCATTTAAATACGAAGCCACCAAATGACTGTGCCTGAACTCACCTCTCATAGTGGGTTGTTAGAAGTATTTAACGATTCTATGTATTTGGCTAGTCCTGTGAGTGCCAGTCATAAGAAAGACAGTAATATTTACCTGAAAATGAAGGAATGTTTAGTACAAACATTAATTTATTTTGTTTGTAGACGTTTGGTTGTACGGTGTACCCGAACATTTCTGCTCCATACTACTGGAACCTAGTCTATCCAAGCTGATTTTAACCAATGACTCCCTCTATTCGAACAACCGTTCCTGAGAAGGAACGTTTACTGTCAACGATAATACAATGTGAGCATTTTGAGATCTAGGGCCATGTGTTTCAGAAATAGTGACGACAATAATTCATTTAGTGTTACCGTCTTAAAACAGTGTCTTTGGTCCCAGCGTTACATTTTATGAATCAGCTCCCGTAGTATTTATTACTTAATGATGTTGAGAATGAGAGTTTAAAAAATGATATGACGGTTTAATATTGCCATCGCGAAATGAAACAAGGGTGTTTTGAATGCCATTCACTGGTTTATTCTGACCTTTTGGACAGAATTCTAAATATTAAAGAACAAGAGCTTAGGATGTCACCGTGATCTCAAAGAGACCTGAAAATAATAAAACCTGTTTATAAACTGATATAAATAAAAAGTGAACTGAATATTTGTTAAATGTTCCTTGTCTTACACTGGTTCTCTAGTTGATTTCACTTTGTTATATATTTTCTTCGCTTGGAACGAATTTCAACATGGAATCTGGTTAAATAGGTTTTTTTTAATGAATACTGAAGTCATAGCAGTCAAATTTTGTTAATTTAATACTAATATTAGTTCAAATGATCATTGTCTCAATTCGTCTATACTTAATTGTAGTCACATTTCTTGAAAAAATGTTTCATAACGATAACTTGTCCCTATAAATAATAAACATGTGTTGTGAGATAGTAACTCACTGATGACAATGGTGGGTGTGTCGCTCAATTTCATGGATTAGTTGAAGTTAGACACTAACACTATTGGATGCCGGCCGGCTCAATAGTCTAATGGTTAAGCGCTCGCGAGGGGCAGGATCGTGGATGCGCACTGTTGAGGAGTTCCACAATAGGACGAAACGGCTATCCAATGCTTCCAGGTTTTCCATGGTAGTCTAGCTTCACTTGACCCATGATCTCAACTATTGAGATATGTACGTACATTCGATTTTTTTTAAGTGTTTAGGACAACATTTACAGTAATACAAACCTCACCAATTTTCACCACCACCAACAACAACAAAAATTCCATTCAATTGATTCATCAAACACCTTATTATCAACTTTTCGTGACTAGAAATGATTCATTGGTAAGTTTAGTTTTAAAATAAAATTTTTACAGTTTTCATTTTTCTAAATTTATCTTTAAAGAAAAAAATTATGCAACCTAGTCATTAGTCTGAATGAAATAATTCTATATTACGTAATAATAAGTCTACATATAATATTGTTTACTCACTTTATTCACTATGTTCTATTCAAATTAGTAATCATCAATGAGAATAAGAATAACATCAACATCAACAACAACAACAACAATAACCAATTAGTTTGGTTGGTTACCCTTTTTTTTCTGTCTAAATTGTAAATGTAATCAATTTTTTGATGAGTGATAATCACTTGAAATCATATTTATTCAATTCATTCAACTCAATTATTAGTTAACTTGTAATGGATAAACATGACATCAATGAGGTTACAATAGATACATATAAAAAATGGAAACATATATTTGGGAAATTTAATTTAAGTATAAGAAAATCTAAAACAAATACAAATATTTATAATGATGAGAATCCTAATCAATTCATTAAACGATTTAATAAATCATTCCGAGAATCGAAATGGAAAACAAGAGATAATATGAATTCATTAAAATGTACTAAAGAAATGGAAGAAAAGAATAAACAGTAAGTGATATGTTTATTTGTTTTTTTATTGTGTGAAGTTTAACGAATGTGAATCATTATTTTGAATTTCAATAATTTTTGCCATAACAACTAATGTTTACAAAAGAGGAGTAAATGAATTATTCTATAGAAGTGTAATGATTATATTCATATAATGAATTGCTTCATAACATTCTGCGACATAATAGTAATAATATGTTGATTATAAAGTGTAACTTTGAAGTTATTTGGTTCGTCACATTATTCTCGTCTAACTCGAGTAGGTCTCCAATCATTTTATATAGATCATCTATGTTGATGATCTACAAACGAAGACACCTGGTAAATAGTTGGAAACCAGGAGGTACTTTTCAGTTTCTTAGTGTTATTTTGAAGCCCCTCATCAGTGTTCAATATAGTTTTTTGTGATGCTATTTACATACATCTAGAAAAATGTATTATTCACCTCTTTAGAATATTTAAGCCATGATTTTTAAATAAAGGATTATCATTATCTAACTATATTTCATTTAATGAGATAATGAACTGATAAATAATAGAACACCATTGGAAATCTGGAAGAAATGGACGGCCTGCTAAGTTCCTTAGCAGTGCGCATCCACAATCCCACACACAGGACTCAAACCCGAGGTTTTCGGTCTCGCACATCAACACTTAACCTCTAGACCACTGAGCCGGCATCCAATGGTGTTAATGTCTAAATTCAACTAATAGACGAAATTGAGCGACGTATCCACCATTGTTTTCAGTAAGTTACTTCCTTACAACAGACACGGATGAACTCCACGTCTCACGACTTCTCATTAGAACTCCAGGAAATTCATCTTGAAGCTAGTCCCTAGCGAGTACATGATAATTATCAATATAGAATTGTGAATATTGTTGAATTTTTTTAAATTGAGATTATGAACTGATCAATCTTTGAGTATATTATAAATATTAGTCGCCCAACAACACAAGGAATAAGCCTACCAGTCAACTTTTACAACACTCATATATCTATATCATAAACGTTTGAAAGATAATCAAAAAAAGAAGTTATAGATGGTATCAGTTAAGTTGAAATGCAAGAAATTTAAAAATGAATAAAACTAGTAAACAATAAAAGTGCAA